TGTGTGTGTGTGTGTGTGTGTGTGTGTGTGTGTGTGTGTAGCACCTTGGCTGTTCTGTACTCACTTTGTAGACCAGGCTGGCCTTGAACTCACAGCAACTTGAGTCTGCCTTTGCCTCCCTAAGTGCTGGGATTAACGACATTCTCAGATCTCTTTATCATCTGAAATTTACTATCTGTTTTCCCAGACCTGCTCACATTTTTGTTAAGGTCAAGGTCAAGAAGACCAAAGGGATCAGTCACCAAAACCAAGCGCTGTCAGTTGTCCCCTCAGAGAGTTACAGGGCCAAAGAGAATGGTAGGATCCTGGAGGCTTTCCAGTTGGAAGGAATCTCTGTGAAGTTATCCTTATTGGCCATCATCACAGGGAGTCCTATATCAAGGGTGAGAGGCCAGTAGGTCAGTCTGGTGACAAGAAGGGACAAGTAGCTGATTTGTTTAGTTTGTGTTGTAGTGTGACATGAAGGACTTTCAAAATGCATCCATAGAATTGAATGGGATTAGTAGGTGGAGTGTCACAATGTCCAGCCAGGTAATATATCCTAAGAACAGACCAGCCAAGCTCTTTTGTTTATTCCTTCTGGAGCTATATGCTCAAAGAGGATGGAGGACTTCCCCAATTAGATCTGCTCTTTAGGGGAAAAAAAAAAAAAAAAAAAAAGGAGTACTTGCATTTCTCCACCAGAACCTTTCTTCTAGTGGTTCTTGAACTTTATCTAGAGGGTTTATTAGTACACACATTCCTGGCTTCTACTCTACAGTTTCAGCTGATCTGGGTAGAACAAAGGATTTATATGTTTACCAAGTTCTGAGCGTTTGAGGATAGGATAGTGTTGATCCAAAGGTCACAATTTGAGGATCACTGCTTCTTCAGTGAGTCTCTATGGGAGGTATCAAGGGTACCAAGACACAAGTGTCTTCATCTGAATTCTCAGTAGATCACCGGTGGTGTATCCTGAGGCTGGGATAGAGTAGATACTAGAAGGTCTCGGGACTCTTAAAAGCAAGAACAAAAGTCTGCTGCAGTTCACTTTTAAAAGGCAAGCCCATGAGTAAGGGCTGCTGGTATTTATAGACATGTATGATGTGCCTGGCTTTGTTCCACCATTATCATATAGAATCCTTATAACAACTCTGTGAAAAGATAGTATTCATTTTCACATCTTACAGATAAAGGGTCTAGGGCTTATATGTCATCTTATGACAGTAAGAACCTCTCAGTATACTTTTGCCTTTCTAAGGTCATGAGTGGTCAGGTCTAGTTTTGATTTTCCATCTCATTGGCCCAGGAGAGATTCATTTGGTACATTAGGCATCTAAAAATACTGTATGAGCCTGGCTTGGTAGCTCATGCTTGTTATTTTAGCACTTGGGAGCTGGGACAGAGGAAGATCAGGAGGAGTTCAAGGTCATTGTGAACTACATAGTAAGTTTGAGGTCAGCCTGGGCTATAGGAGTCCAAACAAAGCAATTTAGCTCACCATCCATTTATCAGAGCACCTTATGGTTATAAATAATATCAGGGTACCTATAATTCATTGTTAGAAGGTAAGAGAAAAAGAGCGAATGATTTAAAGTTCTAAATGACACTGTGGAAATAGCATGTTCTTTTTGCTAATTGTTGCAACAGTAAAGTCAAATGACTAAGTACATACTAGACCCTGTACCAAGCACTAAGAAAGCTCAGCAAGTCTGTAATGGTTTTTTTGTTTGTTTGTTTCTTTGTTTTGTTTTGTTTTTTCCACTAATATGATCAAGCCTAGAATCTTTACAATGTTGTTTCCATTCTTTTATATTAAGGTTTTTTTTTCTCCTTTTCTATTGTTTGAGAATTTCACATACATTTATAATTAAAGTGTTTTGATCAAATCCACCCCCATTCCCTTTCCTCCAATTCCTTCCTTATCCTGTCTAATTTTCCTTCCCAACTTCATGTGTTTTCCTCTCCCTCCTCCTCCTCCTTCTTCTTCTTCAGTACCCTGTGTCTACCTAGCCCTGCCTCTATTACATGGGTATAGGATAGATGTTCTATCAAACTCTGCATCCCTGAAGAAGACTGATTCTTCCTCCCCCAGAAGCCATCAGTTACCAATAGTGCTTCAGCTAGGAGTGGGGTTTCATGAGTCCCTCCACCATCCATGCTGGGAACTTTGACTGGCTTGAACTCAAGCAAGTCTTATGCACGAAGTCACAGCCACTGTGAGTTCAAGTATTCAATAGTGCTGTCATGTCCAGAAACTATTGTTTCACTTGTCTGTCATTGGCCAAGCTGAGCTCCATGCTTCAGCGGACTCGTGGCCACTTTCTTGCAGCTCACCCCCACCTTGGAAGCTCTCCATTGACAGGAAGAAGTGTGTCTTAAGAGTGACAAAGCATTGCATTTCAAACAAGATGACTTGGATCCAAGAACTACCTCTGCCACACACTGCTGTTCTACGCAAGTTACTTAACATCTCTGGCCCTCATTTCCCGTGGCTACACTAAGCGACACCTGTTGGCCTTCTCAGAGTGTTTGTAGAGTTGCATTCCATCTTTACAAAGCAAAGTGCTATATTCTTCTCTGGCCACTCAGGACCTCATGCAGGCTTCCCTCTTCATCCTGTAATGATGAACAACCCAAGGCTAGACCAGTTTCTCTCTGGGCATCCGGCACCTTCCTTGTTAGTTATTATGCTGGTTAGTTATTATCTGAAGCAGCAATGTTTTCATTTTGGATCTGCAACCCATCAATATTTAGCATATTATCTGTAAAGCATAGTACAAATAACTGTGCAATTAAATTATATATAAAACACATTAGACAACAGGACATTCTCAAATGATATAGGTTCTAGTATTTGCTTCCCACATCTTAGTAAGTGGGATATATGTATGTCTGGCCTTGGATCAAGTTCAAAAGTCTCCCATGTTTTCTTTGAAGAATTCTTTGCTTTTTCAAGAAGAATGAGACTATAGCCCCAAATCTATCTATCTATCTATCTATCTATCTATCTATCTATCTATCTATC